GCTCTGCAGCGAAAACAAAAGAAACCAGCAAAAAAAACGTAACGGGTTCATAAAACTACAGTTCACGCGCCGGAAGCGGCTAAAAAATGAAAGGCGATGCAATAAGGGCGACCGGCGTCAGGCTCTACACACAGGTCGACGGAGTTAATCACTTGGCTGCACGATACTTCTTGAAGAACTTGATAGCAGCAACTCCAGAAAGGGCTATGGGAAGACACACTGGCGCAAACAGCGGCAGATAGATACCAAACACTTGGTCAGACTAGAAGAGAAAACGAAAAAGAACAGATATTGAGGGCAGTGTAGGTGGACAATTTTGCCAAGTGCGCGTGGAACGTGGCCGAGTATGCAGCGTCATTTACTGCGAAAAGCTTAATGATAGAAAACTAGAATACGGGGAAAGTTAAGTTTACAAAGAATAGAAGGACGATGATACTGCGTTAAAGGCAATTTAGTTTTGGTTACCGTTACACGGCGCAAACTCAGTACATAACATGGATAATCAGGCCATTTGAATTTTTAGCCACCTTTGCAGAACGAAATACGTTGGGTAGACGACCAATTGCCCCATAAATGCCCGGAAGACGCTTCAATGTATTCTGACAAGATGGTAATCTTTAGCCTTTTCAGTACACATTTGGTCGACATCACCAAAAATGTAAATCTTCACAAAAGTTCAGCAAAGTTCATGCAAAGTAAGTCGGCAACGTAATAGACAACGTAACAAGTATTTATTCAAGTGTCCTTTCGGATTTTCGTGGGATCTCACATTGTACAACTCCGGTTCGCAGAAAAATGAACTTACTGCCGAAAATCGTCTTTCTTCCATCTAATCGACCTGTCGAAGTATTGGGAGGAATCGTTCAAACGAGTCATCCGCACACCATTCTATCGATCTGCTCACATGCCGTGCACGTGATGACGTTGCAACAGCTTCGGAACGTATTAGAGTTCTACTTAACCACCAACCAAGGACACTATCTGATTGGTCTGATGTCAGGCCGACCTTGAACATGCTCATTTGTCCCCTATGCCTTAAATACGCTGTTAGAATACACCCATAGCTACTCTTCTTCCAGGCTTGCGGTTGAGTTCCCACTTGGAGATTCGACCGAGGCGAATAATTGAACATTTAACCATCAAAGCGTTCGGCAAGTTCCCAACAATAACCACCCTACATTCACAGAAGGCATGAAGAGGAACTTACCACCCAATGGAAGAGAGATCAAGTGGGTCGGAAAAAAGCATTATAATGGTTTAAAAATAAACGTAATCTAAGATAACGCCGGCAAAGACACGAGAGGCTTAATGCTCGTTTCTGACTTGCCTGTCATCATCAGATAGGTGTACGTTGGAATCCAGATGGTAAAACAAAACAATGGTATTGCATCGTGTAAATCAGAGCAGATCGAATAAAGTACCTCGAAGAAAATAAAAATCCCCCTCCCAAAAAAGAACAAAAATCTGCATAAATTACCGGGAAGTAGAGAAGGTCTAGAAGACTGTGATCAAAGAAGGCAGCATTGGCCTTCTCGAGGGCTGTTTTGGCAGATAAGAAGGCCTGTCCCAGTCGATCTCGCGGGACCTCACCGAAGCCAGCCAGGGAGTCCACAGCGGACTTCCAGGCGGCCACTGAGGCGTGAATGCGATCGGCTACGTAGGAGCGAATGACAACATTGCGCACATTGTGCACCATGTCCACCAGGGAGTTCAGCGTCAGTGAGGTTGTGGAGATGCTTTCGATCGCACGGAAAAGCAGCCAGGAGTCAAGCTGTATGAAGGTGGAGGGAGGAAGGGAACGAGAAGTCAAAGTAAGGAATCCATACAGTAGCTCACAAGATACCTAAATGGCACGCAAGGCACGTCTGAGTAGAAAAAGCCAAAAGCGTTCGTAGGACATGGTTAAGTTGAGCTCTCCAACCAGATTAATCTGAAACACGTGTGATTTGTTCCCTGTGCCCCT